CAAACGACTTTGATGGCCCCGACATGTTCATTCGTGCGCTGAAATCACCTCCGACCGGCGCGAATCTCTCAGGATCTCCTGTAATGAAAAACGTGAGTGTGAAACTGTGGCGAGTTCCATTGAACATCGTCTTCAACTTCTGGCGAAACTCCTGTGCAAGGTTGTGCTTTCCGGATGTGGTCACCTGGATGCCGTGGTTGAACTCCAGCAGGTAGTCGATGCCCGGGTAACCGGCTGGGCTACTCAAAACCTGTTTCGATGGAGTTCCTTCCCGCACGGCCTGCCGCCATCTTTCCTCAAAAATGGCTGTGGAATCGCATTCTACTAACTGCAAGTTCTCTGCGATCGTCAAGTCGTCGCACCTCTCCCGTTGCCAGGAAGCACGCTCAGCGGAGCCCTTATTGGTGATAGTCCAGGCTGCGAACTGCTTCGGAAACCACGGGAAGGTCAACAGGGGTCCGACAAACTTTTGGAACCAGTACCTCGCGGGCTCATCTTGCCCTCTCCAGAGCTTCACCAGCTTGTCGTAGTGCGCGTTCGCAACCAGCGCGGCAGCGCCGGCGCAGCAGAAATCAACCTCGTACTCGCGGGCATCCTTGCTGATGTAGGTGAAAAGGCGAGTGAGAAGCTTCTTGCCTTGGTTGTCCAAGCTGCCACGGAAAGCCGGCTGCAAGTGCTGCCAATCCATGGCCTCAGATTCCTGGTCCTTCACATACTTCTTGAAGTCGGGTTCAGCTGACAAAAGGGCCCGCAGATTTCCTCCGATCTGGTCGTACCTAGACAGCATGTCCACACTGATTTGAAGGTGATCGCGTGCCACTTGAAGCTCAGATTTCGACCACGATTCAAAAAAGACGCAGCAGCCACCGTCTTTGATAAATTTCGAGTAGTGGTCCCGTTCTGGGCTGCAGGCGAGCACGGTCTTGGCACCCAACATGAAGGTAGGGGTGGCTGTCTTGAAAGCATCCACTAAATACCAGTTGTTGGAGTCCTTCAGGTACGGGCAGGCGGCAGCATGCCATGGCAGCGACTGGCGCTCACCCTTCCACTGGCCACCCTGGCCCTTGGTGAAAAGGAAGACCGTGCTGCTCTGCCGAGCTTCGAACACGATGGCCTCGGGCTGCCGAATCCCGTCTAGCCCCTTGCCCGTCACCAGGTGCCAGAGGCCCAGCGCCAAATTGCGGCTCTTCCCGATGCCCGGGACGCCCAACATGGCCACGCGCTCGGTGCCGGCCTTCATGAGCTCGAAGGTGGCCTTCCAGGCCCGGCGCGTCGTGTTGCGCGTCAGCAATTTCGGCCCGCTCTGGCCGTAGGGCTTTACGGGCAAAGTCTTCGTGAGGTCGAAGACCTGCACACCTGCAACAGTGGCGCAGACAAAAGAGATCGCCCACCCCAAGCCCCCAAGCGGCCTTTACCCAAGTCCTGTGGCGTAGCCTCGGCCAGCTCCCGGATGAACTCCGTGGCAGCTGGGTCGTCCTGACGAAGAGCTGCACTGCAACTTCCCCAGTGACCCCACGGCACCCCTCCACTCCCGCTCCGCTGAGGCCCCCACCTGGAATCCGCTCGCGGCCGTCGGCGGGGCAGACAGGGCAGCGATGCGCTTGGCCAGGACTTTGCGCGGCCCCATGGCAATGCCCATCTCTTTCATGTCACCCGAAGTTAACTCCAGGAGCGCGGTGCCCTTCACCTTCTGGGACTTCAAAATTCCAGCAATCTCCGGCGCTTCGTCGGCGTAGTTATCCTCTTCCAAGGCCGCCTGGACCCAAGAACT